CGTCACTGGACAGTTTTTAGCATGAGATAGGATTCTTGAAAGCATCTATTTTAGTGCCATGGATGAGATGGAATGCCCTTATCATTAGGCCTAGGCCAACAGGACATTTTGTGAATGTCTGAAGATCTCACTCCCTCGGCCCAGCCGGCTGGGTGCCCATCATGGATCACTTGTGGCTTCTCTGATCAGAAGACAGACAGACACATCAACACAGACTAGAATCAGGATGAGGTGTAGGGCACAGTGTTCAGTAGGGCACAGTGTTCTGTAGGGAACAGTGTTCAGTAGGGAACAGTGTTCAGTAGGGCACAGTGTTCAGTAGGGCACAGTGTTCTGTAGGGAACAGTGTTCAGTAGGGAACAGTGTTCAGTAGGGCACAGTGTTCATTAGGGAACAGTGTTCAGTAGGGCACAGTGTTCAGTAGGGAACAGTGTTCAGTAGGGCACAGTGTTCAGTAGGGCACAGTGTTCAGTAGGGAACATTGTTCAGTAGGGCACAGTGTTCAGTAGGGAACAGTGTTCAGTAAGGAACAGTGTTCAGTAGGGAACAGTGTTCAGTAGGGAACAGTGTTCAGTAGGGAACAGTGTTCAGTAGGGCACAGTGTTCAGTAGGGCACAGTGTTCAGTAGGGAACATTGTTCAGTAGGGCACAGTGTTCAGTAGGGAACAGTGTTCAGTAGGGAACAGTGTTCAGTAAGGAACAGTGTTCAGTAGGGCACAGTGTTCAGTAGGGAACAGTGTTCAGTAGGGAACAGTGTTCAGTAGGGCACAGTGTTCAGTAGGGAACAGTGTTCAGTAGGGAACCGTGTTCAGTAGGGCACAGTGTTCAGTAGGGCACAGTGTTCAGTAGGGAACAGTGTTCAGTAGGGCACAGTGTTCTGTAGGGCACAGTGTTCAGTAAGGAACAGTGTTCAGTAGGGCACCGTGTTCAGTAGGGCACAATGTTCAGTAGGGAACAGTGTTCAGGAGGGCACAGTGTTCAATAGGGAACAGTGTTCAATAGGGCACAGTGTTCAGTAGGGAACAGTGTTCAGTAGGGAACAATGTTCAGTAGGGAACAGTGTTCAATAGGGCACCGGGTAAGCAAAACGTTTTAACAAAGAAAACAAAAATGGAGCGTTTCTTATTGGACAAAGTTTAGATAGTACCTTCCATGCTTCACTCTGTTTCAAAAGGTTTCTCCCGGGACACAACCCAAGGCAGAGTCTCTAAGGTCATACCCACCCAGCCTCCAGAGGGAAGAAACACAGTCTCAATGTAAAAGACTCAATGTGTGGGCTTGCAGATTCTTTTATGCCTGTTGTGCTTTTCGTGCTTTTTTCAAGATCTGGGTTGTCTGCCATCACACATCAGTGAGAATAGCCGGTTTTTAAGTGATAGTCCATAGAGAAATGTCCCATAGACCTCTCAGAGACCTCACAGAGACAGCCTGTAATCAGTGGAGGCTGCTGAGTGGAGGACGGCTCATAATAATGGCGGGAACGGAGCAAATGGAATGGCATCAAACACCTGGAAACCATGGAAACCATGTGTTTGACACCATTCCACTTATTCTGCTCCAGCCATTACCACGAGCCTGTCCTCCCCAATTAAGGTCCCACCAACCTCCTGTGCTGTAATGTTAGTAGAGTCAGATTGTCCTCTACCCAGCCTCTGTCTATGGATGATGTGTGGGTTTAACCCTCCAACCTCTGTCTATGGATGATGTGTGGGTTTAACCCTCCAGCTTTTGTCTATCGATGATGTGTGGGTTTAACCCTCCAACCTCTGTCTATGGATGATGTGTGGGTTTAACCCTCCATCCTCTGTCTATGGATGATGTGTGGGTTTAACCCTCCAACCCCTGTCTATGGATGATGTGTGGGTTTAACCCTCCAGCCTCTGTCTATGGATGATGTGTGGGTTTAACCCTCCATCCTCTGTCTATGGATGATGTGTGGGTTTAACCCTCCATCCTCTGTCTATGGATGATGTGTGGGTTTAACCCTCCATCGTTTGTCTATGGATGATGTGTGGGTTTAACCCTCCAACCTCTGTCTATGGATGATGTGTGGGTTTAACCCTCCAGCCTTTGTCT